CTCCCTAGAATGAATAAAGTCAAATAAACAATTGACAATTATATGTTTTCAAACCAAAAGAATATCAGCCAGAAAATAGAAGTTTTATGGGAATATTATACTCAGGTCCCACACAAGAGAATTAATTCACAAAAAGTCTCTTGAAATCCCAAAATAACTCCCTGGAGAGTACTCCCTCCGTTCCTTATTATAAGAGACAAATAACCGAAGTACGTTGATCAAAAAAACAGTTAAATTAGTTAAGAACAATTAATGTGTAAAAAGTATACCTTTTTCCAAAATGCCCTCATTAATAAGGAGAGAGAGCATGAGAGAGAATAATTAAATTATTAAAAGAAGAGAAGTGGGAGGGAGAGAGAGTGTGAGTTGGAGATAATAAATATGGGTAAAATAGTAAATCAACACAAAAAAGTAGAGACACTTGTAAGTGTCTCTTATATATAGGAACATGCCATAACCATCAAATGTCTCTTATAATAAGGAACGAGGGAGTAATATTGTAATTATAAAATTACTTATTTACTCTCATTCATTTACAACCTCAACAGTAGTTGTTGACAACCTAAGGAGAAGTGGTGAACAACCTCGGCAGTGCTCTTGGTATTCCACAGAGTGAGTTGTCAGGAACACTGCCGAGGTTGTTAACCATTTCTTCTCGGGTTGTCAATAGTCACTGTTGAGGTTGTAAATAAATTATTGCAATAAAATTAATGGGGATAAATATGTAATTTCATAATTTTAATTTATTACACACATGTTTTTGGGAAGTTAAGAATCATTTTAGAATTTCCAGAGACTTTTTATCAATTAATTGTCTTATGTGGGACCTGGGTGTAATTTTCCCAAGTTTTATTCTCCCTTTTTCAGTCCTTTTTATAATATGATGTTTTTATAGTTCTAGTCCTATTTGTAACAAATAATAACTTCTTGTTTAGAACATTTATTAAAAAATTTTATATCCTCATTAAAAAAGAGTATTAATAATGAAATTAATTATTAAAGGCCACCAACTAATTGTTAAATGAGGGTATTTTTGAAATAAATTTATATTTTTAACATATTTATTAATTCAGTTAACTACATTTTGTTATTCTTTAAAAAACATTATTCATTTTTTTATAAAAAGGGATGGGAGAAATATGTGAGGAATAACATGAGGTTTCATTAAATAAAATTAAATTAATTTTGGAAAATAATAATTTTAATTTTTAAATTAAAATCTGGGAGCTGTTATGGATATGGTCATGTCATACTGATTCTTCCGCTCAGTCGCCGTAGGCCGCAGCACACAGAAGAAGGGAAGCAGCGCCGCTCAACCGGTGAAGAGAAACTCACAAAAGTAGTTTGGCCTTTCATCGTCAGCTTCATAGCCTCCACTAACTCATTGTCTTCCATTTTGAGTTTCAGTTGTCAATTTTTTTGTCTTTTGTTTCGAGACATTATATTACTGTTTCGGATTGCAGTTCCTCACTTGCAGGTTCGATTTCTTCGCCTGAACTGTGAATGCACTAAGGGTAACAACTCGCATTTCTTCATGGGTTCTATCAGCTTTAACCCTTTCGATAATTGGTTCAGAAAGCCACCAAACCCCCTTCCTCCTCTAAATCTTTTGAATTTCTCGGAGTCATTTTCTCTAAAAGCACCTCATTCAAGTTCTCCAAATTTTGCTGCCATTAGCGTCCCTAATTTCTTCAAAGGAAAGCCTAAAAAACCTAAGGATGAGCCCGGGTATTACAGGAAAATGGCTGACCAGTTCTTCTGGGAGTGTGAGAATATACCTGATTATAGGCATACCCCTGAAGTTGAGAAGATCCTGAATGATGACCCAATATTTGAAAAGAAAGAAAACCCTACTGAGGAGGAAATCAGAGAGAATGAAAGGGTCCTGCAAGAGATAAGAAACAACCCTGTCATGCAGTTCTTGGTGAGAGCAGAGGAAATTGCAGATAAGATGAACGAATTGGAGCTCAAAGAGAATGAAAATCCGTATCACAAAGAGGATCGGGAGCTGTGGAAGGCGCTTCCACATGTGCCTGGATTAGATGGGCGACCTATGCCAAGGAAGTCTCTGAAGACGAAGAAAGAGGCAGATGATAAGTTCTGGGATTTCGCAAGACAGTTCTTCTTCGGCCTCTGGGGGTTTAAGCAGAGGCCTTATCCGTCGGGTCGGCCAATCGATGTTGCTCAAGCAATTGGGTATAAGCGGCTTGATAAGCGATACTATGACTGTGAGTGTCTGTACTTGGAATATAGTTCATTTCGTAAAGAGGGATTATAGTGTGCATCTAGGCGTATGTTGAAGAGCGAACTAACAGATTAATGAGTGAAAATAATAAATTTGCGATGCACTGGACCCCTTGTCAATTGACTGAGAATGCCTGGAAGACTGACAAGAACAAAATTTGCTGTGACCGTGAACTAAATCATGCACTGTTTCCATTTTTCAAACCGAAAGCTAATGGCCTGTTGATATTTAGGGATTAATTGCTAGTTTACGCTGTTTCAATCTGTAAAGCTCCAATAACTATGTATTAATATACAGTGAGAGATATATCGTTTTTATTTGTTTATTTATATTTTGAGATGAGAGTTATATGTGGGGATATCTACCCTGCCGTAATTATTGGTTGAATGCATGAGGTTGGAGCAAATGATGTTTTCATTTCTTTTGTGACAGTTATCATGAGGAGTGGAGGATGGTACTATAAGGATCGGTTGGGACGTACAAGGGGGCCATGTGAGCTTATTACTCTTAAAACAGCATGGGGTGCTGGGATAATTGATAAGAATACTTTCATTTGGGGTGAGGATATGGATGAATGGGCGCCTATCCACATGGTTTATGGCTTGGAACGTGCTGTTGCTACATGGGAAGGTCTGTTAAATTTCAATTTATTATTCCTTCTTACTTTCTTTTGTTTTCTCCGGGGTTGTGCTGGGGTAGGGTATTTTTACAACAAAAGAAGATGCTCATAATCAGACTTCTATATTTTTTTTATTGGTGAAGATTTCTGTGGCAGTATACAATTCCAAGTGGTCAAGTCTCACCTTTTGTGTTGGAGAAATTTGATTCTTGGTTTGGCATTTTTCAGTTAGACTGGGTGCTGCAGCAACAGCTTTTCTTCACAAACTGCAGAAAGGTATACCACCATGGGTTCCTCTTAAGGGGCATGAAAAGAAGACTTACAAGCAGCTTCAGGAAGAGGCTATAGAAAGCAAGAGACGTGATTTAGCAGTACTGGAAGCTAACGATGGTGTTTGGCCTGGAGTTAGAATTCCAAGTCATGCTCTATTTCTTTGGGCCAGTGGTTCTGAGTTGACCACTATTTTGGAGCAGGATCACATGCCCAACAAATACATTCCCAAAGATCTTAGGTATGCATATGCTTAGTGTGCTGTAAATATTGAATGACCATGTTTACTGTCATGAGGTTTTCACAAATAAAGATCTTGGGCTCCTGGCTGGTATTGCTGTATTAGCTAATTTGCATTGGTTTCCTTTGTATTATAGGCAACAGTTAGCTACAATTATTCCTGGGTTAAGGCCGTGGGAAGTTCTGAGTATTGAACAAGCAATGGATCAAATAACATATAATGGCGAGTGGTACCGTGAACCTCTTGGTTCCTACAGCACTGGTCCTCCATACATCAGGCACTGGAATAAGGATGTTATGGTATGCATTTCTCATCTGAGCAGTATTTGAATATCTTTTTCAATTATAGTGAGTTTCTTTATTATCCTTTTCTTTTCTTGTTAGCATTGTATTCATGAGTGACCTTATCAATTTGATTTCCCTTCATATTTACTTTCCCTCCATCCCCTAGCTCAACTAGAGGAAGGTTTGTTATCTTCCATTATACTTCACCTCCTGGTCTATGACACCCTTCTGTTATTGAACATAAATGATGAGATGGCAGTTCTCAACTACCAGCCAGTCTCACTCTCTTTAGAAATCTGCTACTCTCTCACCAAGACCTCAAACACCATAATAGTATGAATCTTATCGAAAGTGTTTCCTTGTTTAAACTTTTACGGATTCAGAATGATGCTGCATTGTGAATAATTTTTTTAAAACCAGCGTCCTCTCAATGTTGTGTCACATTAATAACTGCGCACAGCCCTGATCTTCACTTTGGATAGCAACTTACTCATGGTGTCTTCTCCCTAACATAGAATTTTATTTGTTTTGTTTTTGTTTTTGGCAGAGATTGTACAAGTTATTTGACACTCTTAACACTCGGGTGTTTAAGAAAATGGAGAGGACAATTCCTGGCTTTGATAAAATAATGAATAAGGTGATGAATGAATATTATGATAGACTGGCCAAATTGGAAGAGAAGAAAAGGCTGAAGAGAAGCGGGAAACTATAACTTTTTCATAGTCTAAGTTCTGCTAATCAATCGGTAAGACGCTATATTGTTTATGGTTACTGGTTTTGGTGCACTTTCAACCCCTATACAAAGTTGCAAGCTGCAGGCACTGAGAGAGGCCTTGAAAGCCTTGAAAGCTTGAATTATAAAATTTGCATGGCCTATTGTAGACGTGTACTAACACAAGTAGTAGTTAGTGATGAATATTTCGTGCACTTTCATTTAAAGGAGTCGTAGAGATTGCTTCCAAGTTCAACAATGTATACATCTACGGGTTTCTTGTAGTTTTTATCATCCATGTGTTTCTATATCTATTTTATGTCATTTTTCATGTATTCATGTCATAATGTGAACATTGTATTTTTATTTGAGTATTTCAAAAATGTGAAAAAAATAAATCCTTTCATATGTTGTCATGATTTAATTGAAGAATTATCATTCAAGTATACTGTGAAACCGAACGTTAAGCTTTGGGCTCGACATGACCTTATTTTCATTGTATTTCCTCTAGACCCAAAATTACACGTGTTGTAGATGTGATCTGATTAAGACAAATTAATCATTAGCGTCCCAAAATAGAAACTCGTGAGACCAGCGCAACAGATGTAGTTTTATACTCACATTCCTCATTCAGGCAAAACAAAATGTCACTCAAGAAATGAGTCACGTACTGAAATTTACAAACTTCAATCCATATACATATATGCACGGTCAATCCAAACAAAACATGTATGCGTACCGTCATCAAAAGTACAAACAGCCTTAAGAAGAAACAAGCCTCATGATTTTTCCAAAGCTAGTGCTAATTTATATACAACCTATGAGTAGAAAATCACGGGGACTGATAGAAGCAATCCCATTTGTTTCTCTTAAGCAACCTAGTCAAAGACATAGTGCTCATGTTTTATCACCGCACCTAATATGCACATAACGGCTACGATGATTATAGCACCTGCAGGGTGCAGAGCAAATCAGCTGCTTGGGGCAGACACCCCTTCTTTGTCTTCTGTTCAAGCATGCTGTCCAAGAAAGGACTTTATCGCCTGATTACACGCCTTGCACGGCACAGCGCGATGACGTGGATGATAGTGACAAATGTCGTTGCATAGAGGTCAAACAAATTTAATATGTCTCGTTTAGCTGCAAAAGATCAATCATTAAATGTGTTTTCTTACTGTGTTGAGGTAATTGATCAAATAAACTAATCAAGTGGATTATGCCACACACCGAATGGAAGAAATTCGAATGGGTTGAGCACATACATCATGCCGAGGGCCATCTGCAATGAAGGCACAGTCATCTTTAACAGCAAATTGGCACATAAGTTCGAGTGCGTAAAATCAAATCTTTATCCATTCAAAAATACAAAATTTTATCAATACAATTGATTCAGAAAAGTAAACGATGCATAACAAGCGATAACGAGATAATGCGTATAATAGCAGAACAGTTAACAGTATGACAATAGCATACTGTTGACTAACTTGGCACGATCCATATATCACAAGTATGGAGTAAGAGGCAGTTGTCCATGGGATCCCTAACTTCAAATCTCCCATTGAAATGATTCTAAAAGAAAGAAGAGCATCAACCAACGAAACATGCACCTCTCTAAATCAATCGATTTATTCAAGTATTGAGCAGCAAAATACAACAGACCTCAATAGACAATAGAGGAAATATCACACCATGGTGCATTTGTTACTTCACTGAGGAATAGATGTTTACTTCTCAGAGGAATGGATGAAATTGAAGTGCATTATTCTTCACAATATAAGAAAGAAGAGGAAGAGGAACGCAAAATTTCATTACAATTACCCGCTGACAGAGTATAAGCATTACCACATCACAATTTAAAGGGCTATGAACCTTGTTTTTAACTGAGGATGTCTATGGAATTTCACAACACTACTGAACACAAATATCATAACGTCATGTATAACATTCTTGATATTTGCAGAGGAGAGACACTGACAAGTCTTCGCATTTGTAATTTGATTATATGTGTATAGTGCGTTAATTCCAATCTAATCTTCAAGACAAGATGTTGATCAATGCAATGGAGCAACAGAGAGTAAGAATAAAGAAGGGAAAAACACAAATCCAGTCCCATAAATAATTCAAACTTAACTGCAAAGAGACGAACTCTAGTCAAGTAAGAACTTGTTTTATCAGGATCCATCATATCTTGTAGAGCCATCCGAATAAAAAATGGGAGATCAAAAAATTTCTGCAAAGAAAAAAAAATCATTAAGTGAATCTATAATCAAAGACCAACCAATTAGGAATTTCTAATACACATCTGCCCGGAACATTTTGGCCAACGAAAAGATTTTACAATCACCAAGCACAGATTAAATCTTCAAGAACACCGTCCATATGGCAAAGCAACTTACATTACACATTCAACTCAGTCAGAGTAATACAGATTCGTTAAGCTGCTCATGCAGGTGGTTGCCTGGATATTTGAATATGATGTCTTAAAGCCTTTTTGTCATATATTTTACGATATCACATGATGATTTATTATTTGTTGTCTTGTTGATCCTCTATCCAATTTATCTCGTGAAAAATAGGGTAACACAATTATAGCAAAAAGTCATGCACTACCTGCATGAGACCTTGCATGCCCCCAATGTGCAACCTGTTGTACCTTCTCACATTTTCCATGATTTTATTTGATTCTGGGTTCTGGCTACGGTCAAATGCTGCTTGAACGGGCGCCAGACTGGAAAAATGACGACAGCACATTGGGCATTTGCATTGCTTTGTTGCATCTCCATGAAGCCATACACGCAATATGCACTCTCCTTCACGAAGAAAATTTTCATTATTCAATTTATAGGCATATATATTACAGGAAGTTGACAGGAAATCTTGCCACAACTCACAAGTCTATGAAACATTAACAAGAACAAAGAGATAGAGCAAACCAAGGTTATTAAAAGAAAAAACAAAACAAAACAAAAAAAGAGGAATCCTAAGCATCTTGAAATACCAACTTTGATCCCTTTAAAATTTCCCCTAAGCAGATACTATAACAGCAAAGCAGGACTGATTATATTTGTTATGTCCATACATAGGTGTGGTCAGAAACACCAGATGTGGTCTTCCTGATGATAAGCCCCATGAAGATTTAAGTTGAAGGTTCCAAGGCTGGCTCAAGCAAAAGAAACACCAGATCGAATTGAAAGAACTTTTGCCCAATTTGATTGCAATGCGAAACTTACCGTTCTCCCAGATTAGTACAAGAAAACTTCACAGCGAGAAAAAGAACTTCTACCCAAGTCTAGGAAGCACAGATATGTTTAGCAAATATCCACAAATCAAATTCTAAATTTTTAAGAACCAAGATACACAAAAAATAATACAAGACATACGAACATATAAGAAAAATTAAATTTCAAATGAACATTTCAATATGAAGATGTCTATAACAAGTTACCAATAAAAACATCAAACAAATTAAAACCATAGTTCAAATCAATCTTCATTTTCTTTCACATTCGATAAGCCCTTCAACTGTTTCAGAACGTCTCAGTACATTCAGATACGTTTACAAAGGCATCGATTTTTTTCCCCAAAAAAGGTAAGCTGTAAAAAACCTAAGGCACGGTAAGCATATCGTAGCGAACAAGAATAAGTCGTCTCGTAGTCGTTGTTTTCCTCGGAGTACAGGTGCTTCATAGCCCCAAGTTCATTGCAATTCGCAGCTTGACCTGCTCCTAAACTAGCAAAAGAAAACATAATCGCTTGTATAAAGATGTCGTTTCTATCCTTCTTTTCCTTCCTGTTCTCCTACCCAACAACGCACGACTATATCTGTTTAACCTCACGAAAACCGAAACCTAGGTTCCTGACACAAAATAATCATATCACAATCGAAACTCTCATCTCTCTCATAGTTAGCCCCTCCATTTCGGCGAAGACGGTTTCCATTGCAAGAACCCCCAATGTTAAACCCTAAGCAGCATCAATAACGACCATGCAATAAAATAACAAATAATGGACATTGCAACAAAATTAAGAAGAAAAACGAAGGAACAGAATTTACCGCAGAACCAGTGCGAGCAAGAGGTGCGGCATGGGAGGTTGAAATCGCCATGGCAGACGGGGCAGCAATCGTCGCGAGGAGGAAGCTCTATTACCGTATCCTTGGCCATTGTTTAATTCGAATTCACCTTTCAACACCGCCTCACCTGCCCCTTCTTATTCTTCTTCCCCGTCTTCTTCCTCCCCTCTCACGTCGGCGCATATTTTTTCTGGGAATTTTTCCAAGATAAGGGAAGACCTTTTTATGTACTCAATACCAATACGTCAACTTTCACTCGTATATTTAGTTTTTATATATTTATAGTGCTTGTTTTCAACTAAATCAAGATATATAAATTAATAAATCTTGTTATTAACATTAAAAGGTGGAAGAATTATAATGAGATGCCAAGAAAAAAAAATAATTACAAAATAAGTTTAAGAAGTTATCATTTTTCATTTTAAAACTTGTCATTACAACTTACTTATATTGTTATTAAAACTTTTTAATAATTATTTTTGGCTAAAGTATATATTTGGTCCTTTTACTTTGTGTAAAATTTCAGTTTAGTTTTTTAACTTTTAAAAATATACTTTTAGTCCTTTAACTTCAAAATTATTAATTTTAAATGATAATTTTTGTAACAATCATGGTTATTTTAAATATTAAACTTAATAGGTTAGTATTTAGTAACATTTTATTAGCATTCAAGAGTTCAATATTATTATTTTTTGTTAATAGTTTTAGTATTAGAAGATTAAAATTTTACTTTTTAAAGTTAAGGACCAAAATAAAATTTTGTATAAAATTAAAAGACCAAAAGCATACTTTAACTCTTATTTTTTTTATTTAAAAAATCATTGTAATTCTCTCTTAAAACTTTGCCAACAAAAACTAGTGGCTCAATCTATAAATTGTGATTCATGAATTCAAATTACTGTAAATCCCTTATTAGTGAGCAAAGACTTATTAAGCTTAAAAGACATATCAGGCCCTAATAAACTTTATTAATTGAAAAAAATATTATTAACATTTTAAAATTTACTTATTGCGGTTTAATTAAACAAATACATATTAAATAGAAAAAATCACAAAAAACAGACTTTTGAAATTGAAAAATTACATACAAGGATCCATTCATAAAAATTGTTGCCATTTGCTAATGTTATAATAAATCCCTATTTGTAATTTTTCTATTTCAAAAGCCTTTTTTTTTTTTTACAATTTTCCCTATTAAGTTTATAATATCAATTAATTAATAAATACTAAATTAATTCAGATTGATTTGTGCTTCCTAAACACATTGACATGACCTTAGAAGGCATGTGCAACAAAAGAAAAAAAGATAAAATTAAAATTAATGATCAACATACACCCTCTCAGGATGTCCATTGAGGAAGGACTCTTCCTTCAGAATTCCTACGATTTATATCCAATGCAGTATTTTCTATATTGTCAAAATCTAGATCTTCATCTAGGCAATCTTTAAAATAATCTTCTTCTGCAGAATCATAAACCACAGCATTTGTATTCTTTCTCTTTACCGTCCTTTTCTTTGAACGACCATTACTTCTAGTGCACTCATCATCATCCCCTTTTACGTTTTGGTCTCGTCTCCTTTTAGCAGAATCATTACTCTCGTTGCTCCAGCTGTTGCTTTTGTCCGACTTGTGATATTCCCTTATGGTATTTTCAATGGTTTCGAGTAACCGATCTCCATACTTGCTTACCTTGGCCCTGAAATCCAAATGGCAATTAAATTTGAACCATATTGGCATGGACGTTTAAGCTAAAAACGCATAGTACATTACTCAAATCATTAATACTAGACCAAGTTTAGTACTCCTCTATTCTTATTTGTAAGGTTGAGAGAGTGTTTTCTAGTCCTATTTATAACTCACCATTAAATTTTTCAAATCAAGGTATAATTTTACCTTTCATTTATTATTGTATTGGGTGTTATTTTTATTTCTTTTTTGGGAAGTGTATATATTAAATAGGAGTAAAGATGGAACATTACTAAATTTTAAAATAGAGTTAATATAGTTTAAAATTTTTCTTAATTTCAAAACATGCTAGGAGTGCCTTGTAAGTATTACCAAAGGAGAAATTTTGAAAGGAATATAATGCAGTCAGAGAAAGAGAAAAAAAAAATGAGAGAGAAGCGGACCCTGTACGTAAGTCCTACTCATTTGTACCACCCCTTTTAAACGCATGACTGCATCAGTGTATTACTGGAAAATTGCAAGTGTAACTTCAATGCGCCTCACTTTGAAACTCATTTAGCTATGCTTGAAGTAAACTTACTTGCTAATGCCATTGATCTCAAGGAGCTCTTCCTTTGTTCTCGGTATTCTCTTGCTTATCTGCTGCAGCGTCGCATTTCTATATCATAAGAGAAACATTAGCTCAGCAGAATTTTACCAAAGCAGGAAAAAAATTACCATTCAGGTTGAAAATTTTCCAATTGCATTGTTCGTAGTCAATAACCATGTTAGAAAATCGATCCTAGACAGAATTACAGAAAAATCATATAAAAGAGGGAGAGCAGAACCGTCTGCGAACTCACCCAAAAATGTGGTAGGCCATGACACCCTCTCCAGCTTCTTTGACAATAGTTGTCCGCAGCAGCCGCAGAGCAGTGAACAACTTAGCGGAAAGATTCTGAAAGTAGACTGATGTTATAAAAAACTCTGGGCACTCCAAAATTTTATCAACAAAAACAGGAAAAAAAGAAAGTATCTAGGGTATACCAAGTCCACTTCAGTTTGAGGTGAGGCAGGAGGATCATTTTGTGGAAAATTCGCCTTCCCAGATGTCAGAGAGCCTTTAGCTGGTGTTATTCCTGGAGTTCCCAGCTTTGATGCTTTTTCCGAGGAAGGAACTCTGCAAAAAGTTATGAATGCCAACGAGTGGGCAATATAAACTGAAGGGAAAAAATATAAAACAAAGTTGCACGTATAATAAATGTAACTAGGGAAAAATAGAATGCTTGAAAGACGGCTAAATCACCAAATAACTAGCATCTAAATTCACAAATTTGAGAAGAAGCAGTATGTAAAACCTTAATATAATTTTCTGGCCACCAAATAGATTACGGGCCTTGGACTCATTGACCTGAAAGACTAACTATGCGTTAGACACAGAATCGAAAACTAAAAATGGAGAATAATAACCTATATAACTCATTGAAGCACAGAGATAGCATATCAAAGTAAGCTTTAATACCTTTAATATTGATGAGATTGATCCATAAATATCACTTTTCTTTACATCCTCCGCAAGAAAATCTTGAATAACAAGATGATGCAACACACGGGAAGCCTCTCCCTTAGCTAGATGCTTCCCAGCACCATGAAGCCGTACTGTTTCATGCCGGTGTTTCTTGACCTAATTTTGACGTTAAAACTATATGATTAAAGGCAATCAATGGGCATAGACAGCAAGCAAATGCATAGTGACATACAAACTGGTTTAAGGAACCACGGTACACTTCTAAGATATGAGATGATGAAAAATTCTGCCCCGTTATCTTAACTAGCTCAACCTACACAGATGAAATTCAAAAGCAATGAAACTGACGTCAAAGAATCAAACAATTATAGATAGAATTTCATAAACACGTGGGATAAGAATATTTAAATTGCTTTCAAACCAATTGCTTTGCGATCTCTGTGACATCCTTCTCAATAAAACTCTTGATCTTCAGACAGTTATCACATGTTTTCTTACAGTTTGCAGGATCAAACCTCTCCCCGAAATGAGCAAGCTGCAGAAGTCGTCTACAATCACCATCATTTTCACAATAGCTTACCTGGAACAGTTCAACCCGCAAATTTAGATGTCAAAACAACAATGATATAGCAACCATATGGTGATTGCTGACAGGTAACTGCAAAATCAGTTTCTTAAGAGGTACCATCCGCAGAAGGTTTCCAGTGTTAGTCTCTAGCATCCTTGAATTTGTCAAATTAGATCGAGTATATCCAGATGTCATTGGGCTTTGCTCTATTGCTCCTTGAGTTATCATGTGCTTAACTCGTATCTGTGTACATACACAAGAAACCACTAAACATATGCAAAAGAAAGAAAAAAGATGAAACAGTATTTACTTCTACAATTGATACAGACATAGTCACTATAGCTATAATATAATATGCAGGATGAACGTTGACCATCTCTACCAGCTCGTCCACACTCCTGAAAGCAAAATGATAGCCATAGAAATGAGGCAACACAATAAACTAGACAAATATCAGCAACGGCAATTTGAATTTAAATGAGACCTGGTGGTATCCTTCAATAGATTTTGGGAGAGAGTGATGAATTACAAAGCGAACATCAGGTTTGTTAATTCCTGAAAGATCAACTTTAATATATGATTCCACTCAATACAAAAAATGTAATATACACTGGCAGAGAAGAAAAAGTACCCATTCCAAATGCCACAGTAGCACACATTATATTGATTTCATCTTTGCTCCATTGCTTTTGAACAAATGCTCGTTGAGCAGGATCCATGCTTCCATGATAAAATGCAGTTTTATGTCCACATTCCTGAACAACGAAGTAACTATATAATCAATTTGCAAACTAAAAATGAGATGTTAATCTCTTAATTTATTTTTCACTTAGAAACGTCTCAATAAGCTTAAAGCAATACAGTTTCACCAACAGGAAAGTCACAGACTTGTGATATTTCATGGCAAGAATCGCAAGATACCTATATAAACATGAAAAAATTACTAAGCAAGCAATATCAGAGGTAAGCTGGTAGAAATGTAGGTGATCTTAGTGTTACTAATTATCTACATGTGTGGAGCCTATTGTTCGAAGTATGTTCTCAAATGCACAGGAACACACAAGGAATTTATCTCATTGCCACTTACCCTACATTGTCCAAAATATAGTACAATTTGGGCTGACAGTCCAAACTAGCATAATCATCTCATGAGTTCAGAATCAATTTGAGTTCAAAGTAACATATTTAAGATTTGGAAAAATGAAAAAGTGCTGCCCAGGAGCTTGAAAAGAATTTGATGATCTGATACCCCACAAAGACTAGCATCTGGCAGTCAGAGGATGGAAAACTATTTCGGTCAACCAAACCAACAAAATCAGAATGGGCTAAAACTTTAAGCCTTGGCATTAGCAATATCAAAACATTTTCAAGATCCTGTCAATCCATCACATAAAATCTTAAATTCCACAAACC